AGCAATGCTCGATGGGCTAAACCAACACCAAATAGACCTCATGCATGCCAAAACAAAGGCCTAAACATGTTGGAATTGAAACTCAAAGGACTAGACAAGCATGCATACATATCAAGCCACAAACAAGACACAATGCTCAACTCTCAAACACAATCAAAGAGTGATATGCATGAGAATATGACAATGCTATATGCTCTGAAATCAAGTATTAAATGATGCCAAATCATCCAACCACCACAAATAAGGCATGCTAGAAAGCTCAAAACTCAAGACTAGCTAAGGCACTTACACCATAGCCGTATCAAGCAAGCCCCAAAGGGCCATGATGACTCAAAACAGTCCCAAGGCAGGTCAAAATAATACCAAAACACGCATGGAGTAGAGCTAACACATGTTAGAATGGTAAGCTAAAACACTAAGCATGCAAGGCCAAAGAGTGGGATTACACTACAAGCGTAAGAAGCAAATGAGGGATGCTCTAACCAACCAAAAACAGAGTTGTATCATGGAAAAATAAGACCAAAAATACATTGAGATGGTAACCCAAAAGCTTAGGCATGCATGCATGCAAATTGGCTCATAAGTGAAGCATAAGCATGGAGTAGAGCTAACACATGTTAGAATGGTAAGCTAAAACACTAAGCATGCAAGGCCAAAGAGTGGGATTACACTACAAGTGTAAGAAGCAAATGAGGGATGCTCTAACCAACCAAAAATAGAGTTGTATCATGGAAAAATAAGACCAAAAATACACTGAGATGGAAACCCAAAAGCTTAGGCATGCATGCATACAAATTGGCTCATAAGTGAAGCATAAGGCATAACTCTCCAAAAGCATTGAAAGAGTGAAACATGTGAGAGTATGTCTACACTACATGCACTGAAATCATGTGAGAGATAAGGCCAAAGCATGCAAACAACTCAAGTAAAGCATGCTAGAGACTTTGAAACTCAAAGCTAGTGAGCAAGATTGCACTATGGCTATACAAAGCAAGGCATGCATGACCAAAACCACTTAAAAAAGAGCTTAAGCATGGAAAAACTTGAGTAAAAGTTTGCTGGAGCAGAGCCAAAAACATGCTAAAATGGTGGTCCAAAGCATAGAGCATGTTAAGCCAACAAGCATGATTATACTACAAGTATAAGATGCAAGAAAACAATGACCAAACCAGCCAAAAATAGAGTTATGGCAAGTCCTAAAGGTCACAAAAACAAGCTTGAGAAAAGCCACAAAGGAGTACAAACACATGCTCATTTGGTGAGCCATCAATACATGCATGTAAGACAAGAGGAGAGGGGACCACCCCCTCTCATTTTTGACCTCAAAACCACATTTCTACCACTGAAAATCCACTGGATTTTAGTGGCTAAAAGGCCAAATAAAGATGAACTCAAAGGCCTTAAAGGATGGCTCCAAGCCTAAGCAAATAAGGCACACAAGAGGGTAGAACACCCTCAATACCAAAGAGGCCTCAAACAACCATCTTAAACATTTGAAAACAAAGCTTTTTGTAGTTGAAAACAAGGCCTAAAACAATATGCAAGGATGGCCAAATAAGCAATGAAAATAAAGCTTCAAAGAGGATATGAGACTCACCCTTGAAACACAGCAATAACAGCAAGTTTCTAAGGCAAAACCAAGCTGAAACAACTCAAATGCAACCTCCAAGAACCTCAGCTCAAGAGTGAAGGTGTTTAACTAGGTGTTGTAGTGCAAAAGTGAAGAGAGAATGCACTTTTGAGGCAATATAACACAAACCTATATATAGAGAGAGAGTGAGAATTCTAGAGAGAGAGAGATATGTTGTCTCTAAAATTGCTGAACCTCTGGAAAGGGGGATGAGCCTCCCCTTATATAGAGCAATGCAATGCAAAGCTTGTTAAACAAGCTTGAAATGGCCTCCATCCCTCCATACATGCATATGGAGGATAGCTCAATAAAAAATAGCTGGCTCAAAAGATCTAGCACGAAATCTACTAAAACAAAGTGTCCTGCCGGCCATCAGTGGTGGCCGGTAGTGCCTCATTAATGGCCAGCAGGCCTCATCAATGGCCGGCAGGGCTTAAACCATGGCCGGCAGGGAATTAAAACAAGAAATAGGGAGGGTCCAAAGATGGGGCAGAAATGAAACAGGGTTTGGAAAGCTCAAATCTGTGACGTTCCGCTGCGAAGTTCGAATGCTCGGTGAACAACCAAACTTGTGGCTGGATGTACTTGCAAGCACAACTAAGTCTTGAGGACGGTCAAAAATGGGGTGTCTACACACATTGAACACCAATAATTATGCCCACTTCTAGAACACCTCTGCTCCACCTTACCAACACACTGTGCAAATTTCACTGATGGCCGACAAGGGGCCGGTCGGCTACCACTGGTGGCCGGTCGGCCATTGTTGACATGGACTCTCTTGCTGCAACAGAGAGCAAACAGAGCAAAACAATGTATTTCTCAAGTGTTGTTTGCACACTTTGCCTCTCATTTTCATGGGGAAGTTAAAGGAGGGACAAAATTTGGTTCATAAACCGTTAATCAAGCAATTTCATTCCATGATGGCTTGTGTAACCAATTGTGCAAGTTTAATAAATGCAACATAAGACCAAAATGTCCATCACCCTATCATGCATGATCAAGGGCAACGGAGACCAAGGAAAGTGGCACATTTCATTACTTTTGAGTATGAAATGTCCCATTTTCCTTGTGTTCAAATTAACGTCCGATTTGAACACATGCAATGCAACACGAAGAAATGTTTATCTTGCCACTTTTGTTTACACATTTTAGTTACCAAATTATTCTTTAATCAATTTGTCCGTTGGTGAGTGTCTTCTAAGTGGAAAGAACAATCAAACCAAAGACTGTTTTAGGCATGAAAGAGACTTCATGCCATTGGTAATGAACCCCCAAAGGAATTAAACCATTAAGCACAAAACCTCAATTTCATGCTTTAAACAAGCAAATAGTTTGAACCACTTTCAAAGCAAAAATAAAACCAAGAAATGAGAGAGGTTGCAGAGATGATTAAGTGTTGGAAATGATTGATAAAAGCATAAACAAATGCTATCAACTCAAACAATGTGTCTAGGGCCTAGAACACCAACCTTGTGACGACTATTGCACTACAACCATGCAAAACAAGAATCAAATGAAGTAACCATCCCAAAATAGAGCTAAAGCCGGCTATTTTAGAGGCTAAAACATGCTGGACTTGAGCTAAGTTAAGCTAGAAAAACATGCTAACATGTGAAGTTAACTAGGCATGCAAACATGACACATGGAGAGGCGGCTAACCCCTCCAAATTTGGACTTCATAATTAATTTTTTGCCATTGAAAAACCTCTGAAATTCAGTGGTTAAAAGGCCCAAAAAAGTTGATCTGAAACTGATGAAGAAGGCACAAAAACTTTACAAGCAAATAAGCAAGAAGGGTGAACCACCCCCTAACTGAAAATGTCCTCAAACCACCACCTCTAGGCCACAAAAACTGAATTTTTTACAGTCCAAAGACAAGCCAAAAACAGTTGAAAAAGATAACAAAGCAAGTATGCAAAACAAGTATAAAAGGAGAATGTTATACCTCTTGAAGGGAAGACATAAATGAGGCAATAATTCAAGCCAAGAAAATCTTCTAGAGCTCAAAGAGGGTCTCAAGTAACCTTGGCCCAAAGATAAGAAACTTTGATTAAGGGCGTGTATGCAAAAGTATAGAGAAAATAAGTAACTAAGCACAAAATTGTAAGAGAGAGAGACAGAGAGAGAGAGAGAGAGAGAGAGAGATTTTTGTTCCAAAATTTCTAACCCTCAAAAATGGGGGAAGAACCCCCCTATATATAGAAAAACAAGCCTTGAGCTTAGAAACATCCCGCCATACATGTGTAGGGAGATGCAGCTCAATGTGCTAATAGTTGGCACATCTGTCAACAAATATATGGAAAAAGACACTAGTGGCCGTCGGCCACCACTGGTAGCCGATCGGCCACACCAATGGCTGATAACCACAAGCCATGGCCGACAACCTATGGTGGTGCCCAACAGGTCACCAAAAGTTCCAAGCTTGAAATACCAAGGTTTTGGTCCAAAACAAGGCAAAGAAAAGACAAGGTTAAAAGGCTCAAAGACAGGGCATTCCGCCGAGAACTTCAGGCACTCAAAACGAACAGATGCAATCACAATCATCATGTGCACAAGCGATGACGTTTAAGTCTTGAGGACGGTCAAAAATGGGGTGTCTACAGTTGGGCTGTGATGACTCTAGTGCTTAGTGATTGTAAGGAAAAGACCTGGGCTAGGCTAGGTGACTTTCAATTGGATCGTCTTAGAGAAAAGGTCGGGGTTACCACCCCAAGGATGACTCTTGGTTCGATATTAGATCCGACGAGCATATTGCCTTGAGAACTTTGTGGCATGTTAATTGTTATTCTTGGTCCCAGAAATTATTAATGATCATGTTGTAATTTGTTTTAAGTGGAGAATTTCATTTGTTATGTTCTTGAGGGACATGAGTATTTTAACTGTTGAACTGTGGAACCTACTTTTTGAAACATATTGTCTTTATCAAAACTGTATGCCAATTTAGTTTCTGTGATATATATCTTATTTTGGAATTCAACACTGTTTTCAAAACTGTATTTACTATCTATGCTTCTACTCACTGAGCTATCAGCTGACTTAGTTGTTTATCATTTCCAGGTGATCAAAGGACTTAGAGTGGACTCATGACATAGTGGGGACTCAATTGCATGGACCTCTAGGACGTTCATTATTTTTTTTAGCTTGTTATGTCAGTTTTGTGCACACATTGTGGTTGGGGTTTTTTTAGAATTATTTTATTTTGTGGGCGGTTTGTGTTCCATTTATTATATATTTTTGGAAGTTGGTTATGGCTGGTTTTACCATTTATACTTGTGATATCTCACTGGATTGGGTTTTAATTTGTTTATTTTTGGATTACATTTATTCTTTCTAATATTGGGTTTGTGTTTAGGCTTATGTGTGCCTTGGGTTAAGTCCTTATGGGCCACCGCCAATCATGCCCGGTTTGGGGTGTGACAATATGAATCTTCCTCTTTAGTTTTGAACGACCCCACAAAAATGCAGCTTGAAGTTTATCAAATTCTTTAGTAACCCCTTCAGGCATCTTGAACAGAGACAAGTAGTACATTGGTAGTGATGATGTTACTGATTTTATAAGTGTTAACCTTCCTGCAAAAGACAACAAATTCCTTTTCCAACTAGCCAACCTACTTCTACCTTTATCCAAAATAGGTTTCCATGTGGCCTTCTTCTTTAAGTTAGCCCCCAATGGCAGCCCAAGATAACTGAGGAGCAAGGATTTAACTCTGTAATTAAGTAATGACGCAAAGCCATCCATAACATCATCTGATACACCCACACCACACACAACACTTTTATAGTAATGTTTTTTCAAACCAGACATGATTTCAAAGCATCTTAGCACTCTTTTAAAGTTCCTCACCTCTGCCCCATTTGCTTCACAAAATAATAGTAAGTCATCTACAAATTGAAGATAGGAAATCACAACACCATTTGAACCTACGCTCACTCCATCAATCAGTCCTAATTCCTGAGCTCTGGTTAATAGAATATGGAGGCCTTCTATTGCTATATTAAACAAGAAAAGGGACAAAGGGTCCCCTTACCTTTGGCCCCCTTTATGGAATGAATTCTTCAGTTGGAGATCCATTGACAAGCATTGATACCCTTGCAGTTGATATACACTCCTTAATCCAGCTGGATCATATGCCTTCTCAAAATCCAATTTTAAAACCACCCCCTTCTTCTTTGTTTTCTTCCACCTATCGACCGCCTCATTAGCAATTAACACACCATCTAATATATTCCTTCCACTCAAGAATGGTGACTGTGTTTCACTAATTATGTGAGGTATCACTGCTTTCAGCCTATTTGCCAATAGTTTGGCTATGACCTTGTAACTTGACCCCACCAAGCTTATAGGCCTATAATTAGATTGCCCTATTGGGTTTTCCTCCTTAGGTATAAGAGTTATGAAGGAACTATTGATCCCCTTCACCAATCTTCCATTCCTATGAAATTCATTTACAAAGTTTATCACTTCATCCTTCATTACTTTCCAAAACTTTTGAAAGCACAACAGGTTGAAGCCATCTGGCCCTAGTGCTTTATTTCCATCATATTCTATCATTGTTGCTTTTATTTTAGCTTTTGTAAATTATGTTTCTAGTAGACTAAACTCCATGCTTCCTTCCACTGATTTGAAGGACCCTTCTAATTGATGTCTTGATGACCAATGTTCTGAATACTGATTATTGAAGTGCTCAAATACCTTAGCCTTCACATGACAAGGTTCCTTAATCACAGTCTCCACCACAGTGATGGAGTTAATTTCATTTCTTGCATGTCTATATTTTTTCATTACATAGAAAAATCTTACATATCTATCACCTTTCATTGCCCAATTGAGTCTTGATTTTTGCAGCCACATCCATTCCGCCATTCTAATCAATGTCCACACATTTTCTCTGACTTTTCTCCTTCTTGCTTTTTCTGAGTCATCAAGGTCTTTATCAATTTGTTAATCACATTCCCAAATATCTCCATATTCCATTTCTTAAGACCTAATTTCAGAGTCTTCAACTTGTTAAGTGATATATACCCTGCCCAACCCACAACATTAGCCTCTTTTCAACTTCCCCCCCCCCCAAAAAAAAAAAAAATCTTGAAAATCTCTATGTAAAAACCATACATTTAGTACCCTAAAGGGTCTAGGACCCCAGTCCCTCTCATCCTTCATCAATAATAGAAGGTTGTGATAAGAAATCATACTAGGTAATTGTAACAACCCCGAGCTGTGATTAACCAATAATCCATTATTAAAATGCCTAATAAGAAATTAAGAAGAAATTCTGAATTTCTTGCTTGTGCTTTGTGTTAATTGTGCTTATATCTGTCTGACATAGGAATATATATATGAATTTCTGATTTAATATGCGAATTGAAGGCCTTATCGGCATCCAAACACAAAAGTGACTAAATCTATGTGCTATGTAGAATTTTCAGAGCCTTCTGGCAAGTTTAATTAGAATTCGAGTCGGAACCAATTAATTAGTATAAGCTTAATTAGGTCTATATAAGGCTAAAATGATTTCTAGGCACCTCATATACACTCCTTCATCATTTTTGTACTCAACTAAAAAGTAGAGAGAGACAGAGAGAGACAGAGACAGAGACAGAGAGAGGTTTGGGATCAACATTTTGAAAATGAAGAATTGAAAGGGAATTGGCTTAGAATCTAGCTAAAGATTTGAGAATTAGGAGGCAGAACTAGGAATTCTTACTAATTCCAGACTTTAAATGAGTAATAAAACCTTGTGATTAAGTCATAAACTATGAGAAATCAAGTGAAATAAGTGATTACATACAAGAATTAAGCTTAGAGAAGTGAATTAAGAGGTCATTCCATGCATGCATGCATGATTCATGGATTTTGAGTTTAATTCTTACTCAATTCTTACATGCAAGTGTATATGTTTACTATCCCTTGAGAGCTCACCACGATTTTACATGAAAACACTTTATTTTGCATGTTTTGGAAAGCAAGGAACTCATATCATTACAAATGTCAATTCTGGTTAGATAGTGTGACTTTTCTGGGGCATACAATCAATAAAGATAGCATACCTGTCGACCCGCAAAAAATTGAAGCTATTATAGACTGGCCTAGACCAACCACTGTGACTGAAGTTAGAAGTTTTCTGGGGTTTGTTAGTTACTACTACAGATTCATGAAAGCCTTCTCAAAACTTGCTCTACCATTAACTCAGTTAACATAGAAAATGCACCATTTGACTAGAATGATCAAAAGAAATCAACTTTCTAAGAGTTGAAGACCAGATTAGTAACTGTACTAATTCTGACTCTGTCTAATGGTATGGCAAGTTCCAAATCTACAGTGATGCTTCATACAAAGGCTTGGGGTGTGTTAATGGAGAATGGTAAAGTAATTGTTTATGCTTTTCGACAACTCTAACCTCATGAGAAGAATTATCTGACCCATGACCTTGAACTTGCAGCTGTGGTTTTTGCTTTGAAAATCTAGCGCCATTATCTGTATGGAGTGACTCTTGAAGTGTACACGGACCACAAAAGTCTGAAATATTTCTTCACTAAAAATGAACTGAAGATGAGATAAAGAAGATGGCTCGAATTGATTAAAGATTATGACTTACAGATTATGTATCATCTGGGAAAAGCTAATATTCTTGTAGATGCTTTAAGTAGAAAATCTATTGGGAATTTGGTGTGTATGCCTACCGGACAAAAAGAGTTGGTATGTGATTTTGAAAGAAATGAGACTGAAGTCGTGTTGCGTGAACATGGTGGAGTCTTAGCTACCATTTCTACACAACCAACAATCATTGAAGAGGTTAAAGAAAAACAGCTGGAGGACAAGTTTCTAAAAAAGATTGTTGAAGAAATCGATTCAAAATCAAAATCGGGATTTGTGTTTGAGGGCAATGCATTGAAATATCAGGATAGGCTTTGTGTACCAGATTGTTCAAAACTAAGAAAATGTATCATGGCCGAGGCACACAATTCTAAATTTGCTATGCATCCAGGAAACACAAAGATCTAAAAAGATTTGAAACAGATTTTCGGGTGGCCTGGAATAAAGAAGAGTGTTGTTGACTATGTAGCCAAATGTTTGCATTGCCAACAAGTAAAACTCGAATATCAATGACCCGCCAAATTACTCTAGTCACTCTCAATCAATGCCAGAATAGAAATGGAAGCATATTATGATGGACTTCATTGTCGGTCTACCTCGCTCTTCAACAGGTATGGATTCTATCTGGGACATTGTTGATCGTTTGACTAAATCTGCTCACTTTTTACCTGTTAAAACCTTTTATAATGCGGACAAATTGGCTAATATTTATGTGAATGAGATTGTGAGACTGCACGGAGTGCCAGTGTCTGTTGTATCCGACAGAGATCCTAAGTTCACTTCAAGATTCTGGCAGAGTCTATAGCAAGCTTTGGGAATTGAATTGAGACTACGTAGTTCTTATCACCCACAGATAGATGGCCAATCTAAACGGACCATTCGAACTTTGAAAGATATGTTGAGAATGTGTGTGTTAGATTTCCAAGGAAATTGGGAGACGTACTTGCCTTAGCCAAATTTGTATATAATAACAGTTATCATTTGAATATTAGGATGGCTCCTTACGAAGCTTTGTATGGTCGAAAATGTTGTTCTCTAATTTCTTGGGCTGAAGTAGGTAATAGATCATTATTGGGACCGAAACTTGTGCAAGAGACGGCTGAGAAATTAAAATTGATTCAACAATAGTTTAAAACCGCACAGAGTCGTCAAAAGAGTTATACGAATGTCCGAAAAAGAAACAGAGAACATGAAGTCGGTGACCATGTGTTTATCAAAGTGACTCTTATGAAAGGGCAGACACTGTTTGGAGTTAAAGGCAAACTAGCACCGTGGTACATTAGCTCGTATGAAATCATTGAGAAAATTAATTCAGTAACGTACCAAGTGGCCTTACCTCCAATTATGGAGAAAATGCACAATGTTTTTCATGTCTCAATGCTTCAGGATTATTTGAGAGATCTGTTACATGTGATTGAGCCAACTCACGTGCTTCTAAAAGATGATTATACTTACGAGGAACGACCAATCCAAATTGTCAACCGAAGAATCAAGAGATTGAGGAACAAAGAGATTCCATTGGTGAAGGTTGGTTGGCAAAATCATGGAGGAACTTATGCAACATGGGAAACAGAAGAAGATATGATGAAGAGATATCCGGACTTGTTTCCATTGGACCCTACATTCTTTCGAAATGAAGGTAATTCGAGTTTGGATGACTAAACTCTTTAAGGGAGGAAGACTGTAACAACCCCGACCTGTGATTAGCCTATGATCCATGATTAAGAATGCCTAATGAGAAATTAAGAAATTCTGAATTAATTTCATGTGTTTTGTGTTAATTGTGCTTATATCTGTCTGACGTATGAATATCTATTTGAATTTCTGATTCAATATGCAAATTAAAGGCCTTATGCGCATCCGAACACGAAATTGACTAAGTCTATGTGTTATGTAGAATTTTTAGAGCCTTCTGGTAAGTTTAATTAGAATTCAATTTGGAACCAAATAATTAGAATAAATTAATTAGCACTAATGGCAATTAATTAGTATAAGCTTAATTGGGCCTATATAAGGCTTAAATGATTTCTAGGCACCTCATATACACTCCTTTATCATTTTTGTACTCAACTAAAACGTAGAGAGAGAGAGAGAGAGAGAGAGAGGGAGAGGTTTGAGATCAACATTTCGAAAAGGGATAATTGAAAGGGTATTGGCTTGGAATCTAGCTAAAGACTTGAGAATCGAGAAAGACAACTTGGAATTCTTGCTAATTCTAGACTTTAGGTGAGTAATCAAACCTTGTGATTAAATCATAAATTGTGAGAAACCAAGTGAAATGGGTGATTTCATACAAGAATTAAGCTTAGAGAAGTGAATTAAGAGATCATTCCATGCATGTATGCATAATTCATGGATTTTGAGTTTAATTCTCACTAAATTCTTACATGCAACTGCATATGTTTACTATCCCTTGGGAGCTCACCGTGATTTTACAGGAAAACACTTCATTTTGCATGTTTTGAAAAGCAAAGAGCTCATATCATTACATGCATGCTATGCATTCAAAGTTCAAGTTTTGCTTTTGAACAATTCACATGCTTTTGGGCTTTTGTTTTTTCGAAATAGCTTTCACCTTATGATGTTCCATAAGTTTATAAGTGTTTTCTTGAGTTTTGGCCCAAAAGAACATGATTTTGTGCAATGCAATTGAGTTTTCAACTTGTAAATGAAATCTGGAAATTCTAAATTTCGCATCTTCGCTCGAGCGACCCTTTGTTTTGAACCTTGGCTCGAGTGACCAAAAGTTGGCTCGAACGTAAAATTCAAGCTCCCAGTACTTTTGCAGACATGAGCCTTGGCTCGAGCGAAAGAATCTGTGCTCGAGCGACCACCCTTTGTTTTCAGACTTGGCTCAAGTGACCAAGATCTTCGCTTGAGCATAAAATGAGAGCTCTCAGAATTTTTGCCGGCCAAGGGGTCCGCTTGAGCGACCAAAGTTGCATTCCAGCAAACTA